AGACGAAGTCCATACTGATGTCCTCCCAAATAGAGTTTGGTACCGGTAGAGGCATGTATAACCCACTGTTTTGTGATCCCCCTTTATATGCTTGGCAGACGGCACAGCTCTCTACAAATCGGAGAGTATCACGCCGAAGGCGTGGCCAATAAAAACGAGCTTGCAATTGACGGAGAGTGTTATCTTGTCCCAAGTGCGCCGCAAGTCCTCCGCAGTGGGTTTCACGAATCAAATGTTGGCGCCATGAAGAGATCGGAATGCACAAGAGGTGGTGCTTGAAAAGAAATCCTTGCCGGATTGAATACTCTTCACAGTGGGAGGACTGTAGGCACTTAGCCCAGATGGCGGCGAAATCCTCATCATCTGCATACAATTCGATGACATGCTCTAGACCCACAAGTTCGGCTTGCAGCTTTGTGAGTAATACCGCCCGCCGGCTTAGAGCATCAGCGACGCGATTCTCCGTGCCAGGTTTGTGCTTCAAAGTGAACGAAAATCTTTGCAAAAAGACTAGCCAACGAGCATGCATGCGGCTGATATTTTTTTGGGTATTTATATGCTGGAGAGCTTTGTTATCACTGCACAAAACAAAGTCCTGGTGTAAGAGATAGGATTCCCATTGTTTCAGTGCCCGAACAATCGCATATAACTCCTGTTCGTATGCCGCCCAATTCCTCCTTGCCGGACATAATTTATCGCTAAAATAAGCGATAGGCCTACCTTCTTGCGACAGCACTGCACCAATACCAATTGACGACGCATCAGTGTCCACGGTGATGAGCTTTTCGAAGCTTGGGAGGGCGAGAATTGGGGCGGACGTTAGTGCTTCTTTGATTTTGTTAAAACTAAGCTCTTGTTCGGCTCCCCATTTAAATGTTTTGAGCTTGAGACATTCAGTTATCGGTGCCGTGATTATGCTGAAATTCTTGACAAAGCGTCGATAAAAGTTTGCCAGACCGTGGAAGCTCCGAATATCATAAAATGACTTGGGTTGTGGCCACTCCTTAACAGCAGAAACCTTCTGTGGATCAACATGAATGCCGCCACCCGAGACAATGAATCCCAAGAAGTTGACACTCGCGGTGGCCAGCTCACATTTTGGCAAGTTAACATATAATTTTTGCGCACGGAGTATGTCGAATAAGACCTTCAAATGTTGAAGGTGGAGTGATCGGTCTACACTATAGACCAATATATCGTCGAAGTAGACGATACAAATTTTTCCCAAATGCGGTTTTAGTATCTCGTTCATGACCCTCATGAACGTTGAAGGTGCATTACACAACCCAAACGGTATTACCTTCCATTCATAGAGTCCTTGAGGCGTTTTAAATGCCGTCTTCCACTCGTCACCAGGTCGAAGCCGAACCTGGTGGTATCCACTACGGAGGTCAATTTTGGAAAAGATTGTTGATCCGGTCAGTTGGTCTAGCAGCTCATCAACCCGTGGCATGGGGAAGCGGTACTTGATCGTGATTTTGTTGATGGCGCGGCTGTCAACACACATTCGCCAACTACCATCCTTCTTCGGCACGAGCAACGCAGGAACTGCACAAGGGCTGCGGCTCACTTGTATTAGTTGCTTCGTAAGCAACTCGTCAACCAACTCTTGCAGAATGGTTTGCTCTCTGGGATTTAAGCGGTAATGAGGGAGATTGGGCAGTGTGGCGCCTGGGATTAGATCAATTTGATGCTGTATGCTTCTTAATGGAGGCAGTTCGGCGGGCAACACATCCGGCGTCACATCTTGATAATCTTCCAAAAATTCTGCAATCTCTGCCTTGCCATTAAGCTTCTGCAGTTGACTGTTCGGTTCGGTGACGAGTAGAGCAAACATAGGCGCCTGGTCTCGCCACTCTTGAATTAAACTGCGACCCGAGACAAAGTGTATAGCGGCCTTGTTCTCTGATTGTGTTTCGGTTGGCCCCGGTAGTAGCCGCAACTTCCTTCCTTTCCAATCGAGGGAATAGACATTTGCTCTGCCATCATATTGAACACCCACATCGAACTGCCAAGGCCTTCCCAGAATTAAGTGACATACGTCCATCTCTAGGATGTCACATAGGACTTCGCAGGAGTAATTCTTCCCAATAGACAACGTCACGCGACAAGAATCGGTGACGGCTATGTCCATCCCTTTCTTCACCCAACTAATCTTGTAGGGGTGTACGAGCTTGGTCGTCTTCAATTGTAACCCTTGGACGACTGTCTTGGATACAATGTTCTCAGTGCAGCCGCTATCTATGAGTAAGTCGCACACTTTGCCATTGATAGTACACCTGGTCTTAAAGATGGCGTGGCGTTGAGATCGGCCACTGCGGCGGGGGGCCAGCAATAATTTTCCCATGACTCCAATAAAAGGATCGCCCTCATCTGCTGGAATATCCACGGCTTCCTCTGCCAATTCAGAAGCTGAGTGATCTGAGTTCGTTTCCTCCCCCGGTTCGGCCATATTTGCTTGTTGTCGTTGTGGGCACTCGTTGGACTTGTGCCCGGGCTGGAAACAACGAAAGCACTTAAGGTTAGAGGGTTTGGCATACGGGTTAGTTGAGCTGGCTCCTTTTGGTTTCTGTATGGCTTTTCCCTCAGTGGTTACACTTGAGGAATTGAGCTGAGTTGTTGCTGTTGTTGTGGAAGCAGGAGTTCTTCCGACGGGTGGTGTAGGAGCCTTGTTAGCAGTGGAATTCGGCTCTTGCCAATGTCGTCGATAATACGGTGTCTTGGGCTTGCGATTTTGTTGTACCTCAATCTTCAGGGCCAAATTGATGGCTTGCGGCATCGACCAAACGGAATTCAACTCCAATTGATCTTGTATAGTATCCTTGAGGCCTCCGATATATCGAGCTACCAACTGCGTGGCTGACTCATTAAGATCGTTCCTGGCACTCAACCTTTGGAATTCCTCCGTGTATTCACTCACGGTCCTGGTACCTTGCGCACAATGCTGGTACCTCATATACAAGATTTGCTCAAAATCAGTGGGAAGGAACTGTGCTCGCATTAGTTGCTTCATCCGCGGCCACGAACGAATCCGGTCACGTCCCTCTCGGCGGCGTGATTGCAGTGTTTGTTCCCACCATGCGCTCGCCCCGGCTTTCAACCGACAAGCTACATATTTAACCTTCTTATCCGGATCGATATCCATGTAATCAAAGAAGTTTTCTACGGCTTTCTCCCAATCCAGGAAATCCTCAATATGCAAATGACCATCAAAAAATGGAATGTCCATTTTTACCTTGAACTCCCCAAATTGCTGTCGGTTTTGTGGTGTTCGCCTATTTCGTGGTGGATTTGCGACTTCAAAATCATCCACCTCCTCGCCGCTAGAGTATGGTGGATTCAAATCCCGCGTCAGAACGGGTTCTTCCTCTGAATCAGTAGCTTCCAGCCGGTTGAACTGATGCCGTCTTCCAAAGTGTTCACCGCCTCTTCTTCTCCGTGGTATCTGCCGATTTACTCGGGCCTCCTCACGGGGATGATCTTGGTTCATAGGTATCGTACGCAGGAGATTAAACTCCCTGCGTATATCAATCGCGAGTCGCTGCACATCGGCGGCGATTTCTTCAATCCGGCGATTGGCGTTCTCCTGGTTTGCTCACAACGCCTCAATCGACCGACCTTCCTCTGTCGCAGGTCCTTTGCCCTTGTCCGCCATTCTATTTCCAGGTATAAGTTGGCTCTGATACCAATTGATGCCTTCTGCAGGATCGAGATACCTGAAAAAAA